TGCTGACAAACGCCTGCAGCTGCACAAGGGGAGAGGCAGGGTGGGCATCTGCTTCACCAGGCACCCCAAACCCCTGCCCACTGTCAGCCGGCCCCTCATACTGCCCCGCTGCTGATGGCACAGGATCCAAGGCATGTCCCTGCACCTCTGGGCGTCCTCCCATCACCCCCCACTGCTCTCCTAAAGCCAGACTTGAAGGTCCTTACAAGGATCAGGTCTTGAGTTTTAAAGGATCTAATTGTGTTTTGGTGCCAGCACCAAACACTTCAACAGTGGCCGGCCCATGACTCTCTCAAGGACAGACACCTGTTAAGATTCTTGGGCAGCAGAGGAGAACTTCATCCATTCATCCATCCATCCATCCATCCATTCATCCGTCCGTCCATCCATCCATCCATCCGTCCATCCATCTATTCACCCACCTCCTTGGAGCCTCTACTGAGCTTCAGTGGATTCACTCCCATTCCTCTTTCTGAATACCAAGTCTGGGCAGGAGAGCACTATGAATGGGATTTCTTCCCACTGGCAGGTGGCCACATTTCCATTACTTAACCCTCATAAAAGTAATTAATTGCCGAGCTGCCAGGAGCATTATTATAGAGGTGACTTTGTCTGTGCTCTTGCTCAAGGGCCAGGAAGGGCAAGGAGAGGGGCCCACCCAGGGGCCCCAGCATTTTGGGTGCTGGAGCGTGGGGCTGCGCACGTCAGTACCTGCTCCCGGCCGATCTCCACTGGCTCCTCGAAGACAGTCCAGACGACGACCTCGCTGCAGTCAGGGGTGGTGAGGGAGCCCTGGTAGCGGTAGTACCCGGAGAGCCGGCTGGCACGCGGCAGCAGTGTGCTTAGGCGGAAGGTGGAGGCCAAATCCACGGAGTCCCCTGTGGGGCAAGACATGGACACTCAGCCCATCCCATGCCAGGGATGTGGTGGGGACAGTGGGGTCACCTCCATCAGTTTCCCTTCAGCCAGGTCCCCCCCACAGCTTTCTGGGCCGCAACCCTGCCCTCCCACACCAGGGTCTCTCCTTTCTGCCCTGCCCCGATGTGGAGGTGACTCACCAGCATGGGAGACGTTTCTCAGCCCCACCACAATGGTGTTGTAGTTGGTGTTAGGAGTGTCAGAGACCTGCAGATGGGGAGAAGAAGCATCTAAGGCAGGCAGAGCAGAGCTGCATCATCCTGTCCTGCTGAGCACCCACAGGCAGAGCCTGCTCCACCCCACATTGCTGCAGAGCAGCAGGAAAGGGTTCCCAGCCCACACCCTCTTGCACAAAGTCAGTGGGGTGCCCTGGCACCTTTTCACCACTGAGATTTCCCAGCACCTCCTGGCCTTGACCCAGCCTTCCTGCCCCTTCTTGCTCCCACAGGACACCTGTACAATGCTCCTCTGGCTGCACCACCAACACCCTGTTTCTGGGGGGTCCCTCTTGCCGGCAGCATGAGCCCCTGCAGACCCACCTGGTAGAAGAAGCCGAGGACAGCCAGCCCGTTGGGATGCCCCTTGGCCTCTGCCAGTGTCCGGTACTTGACATTCATGTGGACGATGTGCAGCTGAGGAAAGCACAGAGGAGCCAGTCGTGGACAACTGCCCCTGGCCAACATCCTGGCAGCAGGGCCCTCTCCTATTGATCCTTCTGGCCAGCCTGGGGTGACCAAACACTGAGTCAACTACTCCCTAAAAAGCCCTCCTGGTCTCACTGGCACATCTGTGGGATGGCTGCTTGGAGGATCAAAGCATCCCAATGAAGTGATCATCCTTTGAAGGGTGTGCAAAACGGGGCCAGCAGTCCCAGGGTGCTCACCAGCCACAAAACAAATTCTGCTTTCCTCTGGCAGATAATGAATATTTTAGAGGTGCAGAGCCTCTTTCACCCAGAAGGATCCCAATGTGCTTGGCACAGCACAATCCCACATGCTCTCGCTTGCATTCACTAACTCAGTGTGTGGTCCTGGCAGGGCACAGAGCCCCCCAAACACTGCTGAGTGCCTTGGATGAGGCAGCTCAGCCCATGCATGGTAAAGAAACACCTTGAGTCTCACGTTAACTGCTTTTTCACCTCCCAGGTGCCTCTGCAGGAGCACAGCTGAACGCATCAGTGCAGCGTCACAGAGTCCCATCACCAGCTGCATGGCAGCCTTGGGATGCCCCAGCACCACCCCTTCCCAGCACACCATGGATTTGGGCCACCCAGAGTGTGATGGGGGCTTTTTCTCACCTACCTCCATGGGGAGCTGGTGCCCATCAAGGGTGTGCTCAGAGCCATTCCCAGCTGGACTGCCCCAGTGGAAATGGAGCTGGAGCGCGCGGTACCTGCCGGGGAGGCCCCCGCCGCTGATGGTGATGTGCTCAGAGGCCGACTCGCTCGCCAGGCTCAGCATCACTGCAAGGGCAGCAGGACAGGGTGAAAAGGTGGTTTAGGAGGGGGGGGCACCTGGCACACCTGGGCTCTTCCTCCAGCAGTAACACAAACCCACGGGGCAGGAGCCACAAGAGGAGGGCAGGAGCACCCGGGAGTGGCAGCAGAGCCAAGCCCAGGACAGAATGGTGGCCAGGGAGCCAGGACAGGGAAAGGTGCCCGGTTTCAGCACGCACCTGTGTGCCCATTGTTTGTCAGCCTCCACTTGCCAGGGGGAGCCTGGTCGTAGCCCTCAAAGAGGATGTCCCCGAGGCCACTGTCCCGCCGCAGCTGGCGCCTGTCGATGTTCACAGGGGACTGCTTGTTGCCACCACATGAGGCTTTCAGCTCCTTCCAGTGGCTGGGCCCTGCAGGGGAGGAGCAGGGGCATCACAGGCAGCCACAGGGCCACTGCCACCCCCAGGGGGGACACAAGACCACGGGTGGCCAGCCCTGCCGTCCCTGCCAGCCCAGTTATTCTCACTTGCATCCCGTGGGAGCTGCCCTCCTGCCCAGCAGAGCTGCCTCCCTATTGATGAGCAGAGGTTTAATGCAGCCTCATCCATAATTCAGCAGGATTTCCTCGAGGGGCCGGGCGTTATATTTAGCTGAGCAGCAGCAACCCTCCCTCCACTGGTGCTGGTGAAGGGCAGGCTTTTCTCCCAAACTCCTTCTGCCCGTCCCTGGGTTTTAGCACATCTTAGCCTACCCATGCTGGTTCTGTCCAGCTGTGACAGGTGACAGTGTATCCTGGCCACACAACTCATCCTGGGTGAATCCTACACAGGGTCCTGTGTGACCATACGATGTCCATCAGCAGCTCCTGGGGTGAGGGGTCACAATGGCAGGAGCTGTGTGAGGACATGGTAGCACTGGGAGCCAGCTGGACCCATTGCAAACCCACAGTGCTGCCTGGGGGGCTGTGAGCTGACATCCCCACAGCTGCCACCATGGCCAGACCACACACTTCATACATGTAGCTTGTCCCCATCACCCCGGCATCAACTCTTCTTGCAACACTTGTTGCATCCACAGCTGTGGGATGTAGCCAATCACCCTCCTGGTCACTGCTCCAGCGTGGTTGCCGTGACACCTCACTTCTTCACCTGGTGCAGCCCAGGCTGCAGATGGCACTGGGCACTGCTGGTACCTGGGCTCAGTCCCAGCCAGGAAACAGGAGCTCCCTCAGTGTCACCAGCCCTGTCCACTCAGGGGACCTTCAGTCCCAGGGGAGCTCAGTGTATCCCTCTGCAGACACTGCTGGCTCTGCTCTGGCACACATTACAGCTGGGCATCCTTTGGCTACAGCCAGGGTTTGGGGAACTGTTCCCCCAGCAGTGCCCCATGGTTCACCTCTAACGTTTACCTTCCTCTTCAGCAGACAAAACCACAGACACTTGTGGACTGAATCCATCTCCTGCCCTCCTGGGCTCAGCCCTATCCCTTTATGTTCTCCTCTCATTACTCTGGGCAACTTTTTGTCTGGAAGTCCTGGGAACCACAGCCTGGCTGTGCCAGTGTCCCACCAGCTTTTTGGCGTGGTGTTACTGAGTGGCCCCACAAATTACCTGGTGTGTTCATTAAGGGACCATTCCACACGGGCACACAGCTGGCTGCGGGCACACAGCCGGCTCCACACTGCCCGAGCCGCTTCCCACCGGCCCCTCTCCCCTGCCAAAACCTGCCCTCACCACCCTGACGACATTAAACTGGGAAAGACCAATCCTTGGTCCAACAGGGATGAGCGGAGCCCAGCAATCCATACTCATGAGCCACAGGGCATGTAAACCCAAGAGCTATAAAACAGTTGGGCCGTAACAGCTGATTAAATGGTTGATGATCTTTAATTAACCTCTTACAAGCTATTTGCATGTTTTGAGACAAAGTGCCCCCAGGCATACTTCTCTCCCCAGCCAGACAGGCAGGCCTGCTGCCTCCCCAAAGGGAGCTGTCCCTTCTCCAGTTGGGCCCCTGAGCCTTCCAAGACCCTTGCTGCCTGTGCTTCTCTGGGGTTTCCAATGGCATATTTTAAATCCAGGATTTAATTTGTTTCAGGTGAAAGGGGGAAAGCTGGTGCTGCCACAGGAGCACCCAGACCTGGTTGGGGTGGGGGGTGGGGCCGAGTCACTCCGAGGGGCTTGGGTGTTTGTCAAGTCTCTACACCAGCATATTCCAGAGTGAAGCTCCTCTAACCATTCCCACTTTGGAGTGATATGGGGGCATTTGCCCTTTTCCATGCCATGCTTCCCACTGCGATCTCGCTGATGCTGCCCAGGGTGCCCTTGGCCAGGCACTGTGGGGTCCAAGCCCTGCACAGCCCTGACAGCCCCCCTCCCATACCTGGCACCACTTACCACACTGGGGGTCCTGCGAGTCGTAACACCACTGCCCTGCAGGAGAAAGCAGAGCTCAGGGCAGGTGATGGAGACAGGAACCCCTTCCCAAACCAACACAGGGCTGTGCCCAGCCCCCCAGCAGTGAGGACATCCCTCATTGCAGCCTGGGGTCCCACCGACACTTGTGTTCATCCCAGTTATTTTTGGCTGGTGTTTTCGCACCCTCCCTGCCTCCCCCAGCCGCTCCACAGGGAAACCTCCCTCAGAATCACTGCTCCAAGGCAGCCAAGCCTTGCTGCTCGCTGTGCTCCTTCCCCAGCTACTGCGGAGCCATCCCCCCCTACCCATCCTAGCAAAGCAGCCCCTCACCCCACAGCAGATGCCTTGCAGCCCTCCTGCAGCCGTGGGTGAGCGGGAGCCGAGGGGGCTGTGACAGCCCTTCCTGGTGCTCCCCGTGGCTCCCGCAGGTGGGCTGGCAGCAGCAGGCAGTTGCTGGTGGCTGCAGCAGGCAGGCAGTGGGCAGGCCTGTGCCCACGCTGTGGGGGTGATGGCTTGTCCCATCACTCAGGACCACCTCAGCCAGAGCTGCCAAACTCCCACCAGCTGCCCGCGCTCAGGAGGGCTACAGGAACCACCCGTGTGGTAACAAGTGCTGGCACAGCAGACACAGGGATACCAAGGGGATGCCGAGAAAGCTGGAGCCCTGTTCCTGCTCTGCTGCCTGCACATCTGCCCAGGACCATCAGCTCTGCAATGGGAGTTGGGGACTGCACCCCTTCCCTCCTCAGCTCCCCATCCTGCTCCTCACAACCAGGAGCAACCTGGTGCTGTCCAGGGCCAGCCTACACAAACAGTCCCCGCTGATGGCTGAGGGGCCATGCCAGCAGGCCGGCTGCAGGGGAGCCGAGCCATGCTCCTGTGCCAGCCACTGCCACTCCGACCAGCAGGACAAAGGCAGCCCTGCCTGCCTCCACCTGTGCTGCTCATGGCCCCAGCCTGGGGCACTGCATCCAAATTCTCACTACAGTGATACAAGAGACACCAGCCTCAGAGGAGAACCAGGAGCAGGACAGTGCAGACTCAGACAGTCCATCCCCAGGGCAGGGATCTCGGGGTTCAGGGGAAAGCCGAACTCCTGGAAAATCCTCAGACCTGCACGCACTGGCCCTCGAGCATCCTCTGGCAGGAGCCAAGGTAGCCCTGGCCAGCCCCAGCCTGGCCCGGATGCAGGTGAGCACCCAGCGCCTCGGCCCGGGACTGGCAGCCCCCGTTCGCTCGCAGCTTTCGTCCTCATTGGTGTTCCCCGACAGTGCAGGTCTGTGGGGTGGATGGGCTGAGCCCAAGCCCCAGCGCCCCAAGGGGACTCTGGCCTGACCAGCACAGAGCCCCGGGCGGGCTGAGACCTCCCGAGCCCAGCGGTGCCCAGGGACATTCAGCAGCGGGGAGGGGGTCAGTGGGAGCGCAGGAGAGGGGTCCTGGGCCAGACCAGGTCCCCCAGTCCCTACCTCCAGCCTCCCCAGCCCGCATCATCCCACAGCGTGTGGGAAGGGAATGGAATAAGCGGTGCCCCTGCAGGCCCCCAGCCCCACGCCCCCCTCCTCTCCCGCCGCGGGACCCCCGGCCTCGCTGCCCCGGGGCGCAGCTCACCTCCCGCGGCCGCTCGCACGACGAGGGGCAAAGTCAGGAAAGTTATGCCGAGCCCGGTGGGGCCCATGGCGGCGGGGGGCAGCGGGGGGACCCCCGCACTGCCCCGTCCCGTCCCTCCGCAGTGCGCCCGGCGGGGTCGGTGCTGGGCTGGGGCGGGCGGCAGCGCTGGCAGCGCCCGCAGCCCGGGAGATGCTCGGCTCCAGCCTGGGCTCTGCTCTTACATATTCATCACCCGGGCTGAGTTTTTAACTCCTCGGCTGCTAGGAGGGAGCAGGGAGAGCCCGGCCCCCAGCCAGCCCCCCGCGCCCGCCAGGTCACTGCCTCCGGTGACAGGGACAGGGACAGGCGGGGAGCGGGGCTGGCGGATCCCACGGGTGCAGCGCTGCCCGCCCCGCTCCCTGCTGAGGGGGTGCCCCCCGGTACCATCCCGCTCTGCACCCCCAAAGGTGGGGTTCAGCGGCATTCCCGCTGCACCGCATCCTACCCCTGCAGTGTGTGGGACTACAGATGAGATTCAGGGGGCTGCCAGTAGACAGAGGGGGCTGAGGGCACTAGCTCTGCCCCATACTCTACCCACTTCTTGCAGACACATGCTGTGGGACATACCCTCGCCCCCAGCTTTGGCAACGCCCCAGCCAGCAGCAAGTCCTGCATCTCCCATGCCTGAGTGTGGTGGTTCCCACCTGCTGAGGGGCAGGTGGTGCCATGGGGACCCACAGACCAAACCCAGCTGAGCCCTGCAAACAGAGGCCCCTGCCTGGGCAAAGCCCAGTGAGCACAGCCCAGTGAGCACCTCCTCGGTGCCCAGGCGGCCTCCACAGCCCCACTACAGGGGACCCTCAGCCCCTGGGCTCACCAAGGAGCCACACTCTGGTGGGGCAGGATTCGGCCCTTTCCTCTCAGTGGGCACAAGGCTGCAGTGACTCAGGCTGTCACAGCCACAGCCGGCCAGGGCAGAGGGGCAGCACTGGGGCACAAGCCTTATGCACCCAGTGCAGGCATCCTGTGATGGTGGAGGCAGCTGTTCAGCTCCTCATCATGGAGCAAGCACATGCCGTTCCCATTGCACCTGTCCAGGAAGGTCCCACAGGAGCCAGGATCTCACCAAAGGAGCTGTGGTCCCTCAGCAGGCAGGTAGGAAGGGGGTGAGAACACAGGAGCATGGTGTTGTCACATTCTCCTAAAATATCCCTGCCATCCTCAGGCAGCAGTGGAAAGGAGGCCACGGGACCCAGGCTGCAGCGCCCCTCGCCGGCACTTGGCCCTGGCCGGGAGCTCTGTCGAGCCAGTGCCAGGATGAACAAACCCGGCAGCAGCGCGAGGGCAGCAGGAAGCAGCCTCCTGCTGCCGGCTTGGCCGGGAATGGGCTCCGGCTCAGCAGAACTGCCTGGCTGCCATGTGCTACAAGGGGTTCATCCTCAGCAGGGGTTCTTTGGGGCACCCCTGTGACCCCAAGGCAGCGCCAGCCCCAGGCAGGTACCTGGGCAGCACCAAGCTGCATCTGGACCCCAGCAGAGGAGGGCAGCAGCACAGGTCTCCCCCGAGCTGCTCTGGATCTGTGCCATGGCTGACACTTGGCCCCCGCTCGGGGGATGAGGTATTCTGCACCAGGTCTGCAGCCTGCTGCCCATTACTGCCAGGAAAGAGAGGAGTTGCTCTGGCACCTGTGAGACTGAAACCTCCATTGGAGACATGAGCCTGCCAAGTGGCACCTCTTCCACCCACTCACAGCAGGACAGCCTGTATTGCCAGGCAGTGAAGGAGAAGCCCAAGACCCTTAGGGTCAGGAGCTGATGAGACCCCCCACCCCATAGCTATTGCTCCCCAGAACACTTTTTTAGGATTTCAGGCTTCTCTGGTGGTGATTTCTAGCAAGGAGGGCAGGAGCAGAGTGGGGCTCAGCACAGCCCCGACGAGAGGCAGGAGCGGAGCGAGGAAGCAGAGGGGTCTGCAAGGCATGTGGGAAGACAGCGGCAGCACTGAGGAGCTGTGCCACACCCTGCTCCCGCCCATCCCCACCGCCCCGCTCCCCAGGGTGCACCGCTGGCTGCCGGCACCCGTGCCAGGCAGGAGCAACCTCCAGTTTCTATAGGAACCAGATCAAACCTTGAAATTGCCGGCCTTGCTGATGTGTTGGTGGTCGTGCTGAGCTCACGGCTGATCCTGCAGCTCTGTGCTGTCCTCACAGGGAGACACCACGTCCATCAGGCTGCCACCACGGAGCCAGGCGAGGTCCCTGCAGACGCGTAGTCACAGCACCAAGGGCAACAGCCAGGACAGGGGAAAAAATACCACTGAGATATAAAAATAGTTCCTTAAGCTGCAGCCATCGATCAGTCGTGGGCACGGTGCCACTGTGCTGGGAACCCCCACCACGTGCACCGTCAGCAAGCCCTGTGCCAGCACCCAGTGGAGGTGCCAAGAACAGCTACTGGAGGTAAATCCTACACGTCCGCCTGGGAGCCTGGCCGTGGACCTGGGCTGACAGGGACAGTGACAGGACAAAGACTTGAGCTGCCAGAGTGTGGTTCACATCACCCACGGATGGATGCACGAAAGGTTGTGGGCATCCAGAGAGGCAAGTAGGTAAAGTTCATGGGCAATAAATACTCCAGCCACTCCTGATTTTCCATAAGGATCTTTGATCCCCATAACAAGCTGCTGCTAGCCCGGGCAGCAAGCCGGGAGCAGGGCAGGGAGCACAGCAGCAGCAGGCACAAAGGAGGCACTGTGACCAGCAGATGCGCGCTGGCCACACGCCGCTGCACAGCCCCTTCATTCATCCCACGCTCCCACTGCCGCCGGGGTCAGCGACATCTCCCTCCCCACGGCCTGGCACCCCCGGGGGCACTGCCAGCACACGGCCCCTCGCGTGTCTGACACGCTCCCCACGCCCTGGCGCTCTCCCAGGGGCTGAGGGCCCCGGACACGCCGTGCTGAGCAGAGGTGCTCATCACCCTCCCAGAGAAACGCGTTTTAAGCTGCTAAGAGTTTACAGCAGGAGGCTGCCCAGCAATGCTCTACCACAGCAGCCGAGGGTCAAGACTGACAGGGCAGCCCTCCATGTCCCTGGTGAGCCCCGAGAGCCGTGGCCATGCTCCAGGCAATCCAGGCTGCTCCCTGTAGGAGCTGTCCTGTCCCCAGGCAACGAGGGGCAAGAGGGAAGGGCAAGTTGTATCTGCACAGGATCTTCCAGCATAGGCAAAGCCCCACGGGGTCCCTGCCAGACTGAGCCCCCTCCAAGCGCTCGTGACATCAGGCAGCTGCTGTGGAGGGATGTTTGTCTCCCCCAGACCAAGTAGCGAAGGAAAGGCTGCATCGCATCGCCTTCAGCTGACCCAGCATCCCGCGGGGATGGAGCTCTGGAGCTGTGCTGGTTCAAGTCCAGCAGCGACGGCGGCGGCGGCAGCTGCCCTCTGCAGGCACAGGAAAAGGGGAGCAGAGCCCTGCCTGGCCCCCGCAGCGACGATGACACTGCCCCTGGATGGCTTTCAGCAATGAACGCATCCTGCGGCCCCGAGCAGGGCACGGGACGGCCCCGCAGCGCTGCGGGGACTTGTTCCACACGCTCACAGCAATCACTGCGTGCCCAGCGGCTCGTGGAAAACAGGGAGCTGGGGGTCCGGACCACCCCCTCCCTCCAGCACAACCACCTGCCCCGGCACTCAGCACCTTCCCCCGGGCTTGGGGAGGGCAGCAGGAATATACTGCACTTCACCTTCTTGGGTATAACCCCAAGATTTTCCTAAAATTACACTAATAGAGGTAAATCCCACTGGAATTCGTATAACAGGGACTTTGGCAGCCTCCCTGCTCCATGTTAAATGCATCTATTGATCTTCTGCAAGATCACAGCTCAGAATTGTGATTTAACAAAGCCTTCCTTCGCAACGCTGGGGAACCACACTGACGCAGAAATCAGGAGACATTGGAACAGGACATTTCTCTTACAGAACACAATTTATTTGGCATTTGGATGAAATGTTTCTCACAGCATCTTGGAAAAAAAAAAAAAAGATAGATTAGTGCCAACCCCAAAGAAGTTAAAACAAAAAACCAGTGTCACAAGGACTCAATTATTATAGTATCAAATTTAAATTCTACATGGTATTTCACAGAATATCAAAATCTTTTATACACTGCCACAGTTAAGTCCAGTCACAAACCAACTACACAGGAGAAGCCTGCAAGTGCAGCGCTGGCTAAAACGATTTTCCAGAGGAAGGTAAAAAGCAGTGTCTCATTCTCTCACAGCCTCCCAGGCACCCTCAGCCCAACAGGCAGGGTGTGGCACAGCACAGCCACCTCTGCTGGCATCGACTCCGACCCACTCAGCACTCAAGGTGCACATACCAGAAAATTAAAGCTATGTGGTACCGCGGCAGGCAGGTAATGCTGACTGTTGTTATGAGAAGTGCATCTTTACCACTGAAAGCATCTATTCCAAAGAAATGCTTATTTCATTTGGGACTGGGGAACATCGGAAGCAAACGTATGGACTTTGATTCACCTCCTACACTCAACTGCTGTAATTTTAGGGTTCAGCTCCCAGTTTGAAAGGGAAATTTAAAAGAAATTTCCTTGCATGTTCGTTAGCTAGGGAGAAAAGAGACATTTCACCAACTGGAAAAAAGAGATGCACGTTAGGGATTGTACGAGGCAACATTAAAACGTCAGTGCTTTGTCGTTGAGAAGTCACATCCGAAAGATAAAAACATGCTCAAAAATAGCTTCAAGTTTGTTTAATATGAGATGGGAAAAGAATGGTAATAATTATTGGTCACAAAAACCCACTTTCTTCCCAAGTAAAACTCGGGAGATGCCTGAACAGGTCATCACTCCACAACACCTGTGGAGGCAAAGCACCGCCCGACTGCAAGAGTCAGCCTTCGGAAAATAATGTCCACCTACTTCATTCTTCTTCTGGATCAGCGTCCTGCTGTGCATGGATAAAGGAACAGTCTGAGGCTCAAACTAAACAGGACTGAACATTACACAGACAAGTTTTTTTGCATATTGGAATGACAGCGTTGATCTAGCACAGAACAGGACCCTCCGCCCCTCTAACACTTAAACCCTACAACTCACCTAGTACAGAATCAGGGGCTGCTGTGACACTGTGTACAGGGGCATCACTGACAAACCAGAGTATCTGGGGCTGCTCTTAGGGAACAGCAGAGACCTCATATGGCACCACAGTACATCACAAGGAGGGGGGAATCTGAGGAGCAGCTTTGTCCGAGGCCACAATGGGAGGTGTGAGCCCTGCTGGGAGCTGAGTGCTGGGACTTCACAAAACTGCAGTCAAGAACATCCCGAGATAAACACACTCCTGGCTCACACACTCTGCTGGGAAACATGTGGCAATGCCATCTCCCTGCTGTGTCTGGAGGGATGTTTAAGATGCATTAGCAGTTAAGAAAAACAGCCAGAGATATGAACAGTGGTGGGAAAAAAAAAATCAATGCACAAAGTAACTCCAAAGATCTCATCAATCTAATGGCAATCAAAACAGAAAGGTTTTCCTTGGGCAAGCATCAACCCTCTGTAACTGGTGCTCAGGACAAACTGCCTTCCAGTCACCTTGCCAAGGGCAAGGAAGGTTTGCTGAGGAGTCCACTGCTGTCATGGAAACTTAACTCTTCCCCAGTTGGTCCAGAAGTCTGAGTAGTTGGGACGTTTTCCACTACAAAGGCTCTTACTCCAAGAGAAAGTACTCAATGTGAAAAAGCTACATTAAAAAGGGAAAAAAATGACAATTTTATTGCCAAATTAGAAGCTCACCGAGAGGTAAACGAGCTGTACTTAGTGAGCTGCTTCATTCAAGGCAGAATTTCCCTTGTTTACAGTTAAGATGAAGAAGGATAGGAAAAAATAGAGAAAATAGCAGCCTACTGCCAATATACAAGTGGGAAAGGCTCAGAAGCAATGGGGAAAATATCACAATGAGGCTTCTACAAAGAAGCCTCCATTTGGAATAGCTACAACCAGGAGCCACCATGAAGTTGCCAGTTGTAACAGAGCTTATTTGCAAATAAAATTCACCACAGAACCAAAAGTAAAATAAAAAAATGTTGAACAGATTCCTGCAGTGTTAGGAGAAGTGTGAGGTAAGGTATCTGTTCACCTCAGCCACAAAACAGTTTCAGAGACCAAGCCAAAAGGCCTTTTGTTATTGCGCTAGGATACTACAAATATTCCACCTGGCTTCAAAAGAAATTGGAAATTTTCTATTTTGCACTGCTAACAAAATATTTTTCAGGAACAGATTGTAGTAGCATAGACTTTGCATCCTACTTAAGTGTACACTATCCCAACCTGTCCTACAACAGTGTAGCCAGCTTGAGAGAAGTATTAACCCTAGAGCCTAGTTTCTATCTCAGTGCTCAGCTTCACCTAGCGGGATGCAGCACAAAGGTTACTGTCTACAGTATGTATAGATATATATATATGTCACCACCCAGAAACACACACGCACACACACGCATTCGTACCTATAAAACTAAAGGAAAATCAGTACATACAATGTATAAAACGTATGAATGTGCTCAAAAACGCACAAAACCCGCTTTATTTTCATACTTCAGAAATGCTCGATAATTTGTACGCATGGTTCTGACTACTGCTATCCATCCACTTCATTGGACCAGGGCTTGGAACGCGGAGGAGGAGGAGATGGTCAGAGATCCCACGGGGTGCAGAAGCGCTCCTCTCGTTTCGTACCAGTGCTGCCGCAGCCAGTCAGGCCGGAGCGCAGGACGCGGGCGTGGAGCGGCTCCAGGCGGAGAGGCTTCCCAACAGCGCTCCCTCCCACTCGTGTGCCAGCAGCGCACCCAGAGCTGTGATTCACGCTCTCCGACGGAGTCAAGGTTGTTAGCAAGTGTCTGAATGTCAGGACACCAGATACGACCTCAGTAACGAAACCCACAGTTTTCTGTGCAAAAGGAGTTGAATTGTCAAGACCAATCCCCAAGTACAGTATAAGCCTATAGGCAAGACAGGGAATAGAAAGTAGCAGCATATTCCATGGGGAAAGAGTCAGCTGCACTGGGAAACCGCAATAGTGGGTTAGGATTTGTCATACAAGTATGACTTCTCATAATTACTAGAAAAATAGATCACATACACACCCCCATGCAGTGTTTTGTTCCTGTCCCTCTAGGCTTGTACCCTTCATAAGGTAACAGGAGACCATTTACAGGGAGCATTCTTTACAAATTCCTTAAAATTCATCTCATCTGCTGACTGTTACAGTAAGTCAAGGAGAAGCAGAGGCAAGGGGAGGATGGGAGAAAAAAGTAAATTATTTGTACACTGAAATCCAAACAAATTTAAAATCACCTGTCAAGATTATTTTGCACTCATTACCAAAACCAACAGTGCTTGACTTTGGGTTTCGTGAGGGAGTGAATGAATCTTTGTCATCTGTAAATTAACTTAGTTTAAAGAGTTCAATACAAGGGGGAAATTTAAGATGACATATCAGACTGAAGCAAACTGTTTTATTGATTTAAGTACACTAACCTCATTATAAACCCTTGTGGGACCTGGATAAATGGTTTGGGGGGCACAGGGGAAATCTCTAGAACAGGGTTGGCAATTTATGGGACTCAGATAAGGAACAAGTGTCCAATTAGAATTAAACATCACGTATAGTACATGTTGATCACCGTTTTTAAGTGGTATTTGTAGAACTGCAAAGTGAAATGGAGGGGAGGGAACACACATGCTAAATATAGCATGCAATAAGAAAAGCAAGAACAATGATCTTTTATCCAGGCCAGTCTTGTGCAACTGTTCACTGTAAAGGAGTTAACCTAGAAAGAAAAATACTTCAATCTTCCTTATGGGATTGTAACAAACAGGGGCTTCATACAGTGAACTCAGGCTGCATCGAAGTTAATTGCTCCCCATCTCTTCCCTAAAGTACTACCTAACACATGTGAGGGTTCTACTAAAGGGACATCACACAGACCCAGTTTCCTTCATGGGCCAGAAGTTTACCTAACCATGAGGTTTTGCAGGTACCAGCAACAAATAATTGTAATTGCAAATCCCAGTTTTCTTAGTACCCACTCGTCACGTATTGCGTAGACCATTCACCCTCCAGTCCCTATGGTGTTCTGAAACAGCAATGCAGGTGAAAACCCACATGTTTTACACAGTGCAACCCTTGGTGCCCTGTGTTTCGTTGCTCAGGGCCCCCACTCTGCAAAACAGGTCCCCAGCCCCTTCCCCTGCAGTTCTGTCCTCTCTGCTTGAACAGTGACTGCCCCCACCCTCCTTTTCCATTGTCTGTTCCCTGGATCCTGTGGTATCCAGCCAAATCCAAGTAGCTTTTTTCTGATGTAGATTTTGATTCCTCTCAGGTTAAGAAAAAAAAACAAAACAACAAAAAACCAAAAACCAAACTACCCATACTTTTTACCTCCTTAGAAGTCAAAGGAATTCTCTGCTCTCTTTTCCATAGTCAATGGAAAAAAAAAAGAGCAGTTATACAGTCCATATTTACAGGACAAGTTGATTAGTGAGTGAATAATGACAGCCAAAAAAACGAGAGGCACGATCCTAAACTAGAACATAAAAGCAGTGTCTGAAGAACAAAGTGGAGATTCCTTCTGAAGTTCGAACCACGGATTAGTGTTTGTCTGTGCAAACAGTTGCTAAAACTCTCTCTGACCAGTGATGGGCGTTTCACTCCTCTATACAATGGTGTTGAGGGAACAGTGGCTGTGACGGCTGCCCGTAAGAGTTTCTGCCGGTGTGTTCTCATTTAGTGGGGTGTCAGGAGGGACAAGAAAGGTGCTGCTGTCAGCAGAGTCTTCCAGCTCCACTGGAGAAGGACCAACTGAGGGAGGAAGCGACCCCTCTGTAAGCTGTGGGGATACATCACAGTTTCCTAGTGATGGAGGACTGCTTTGCACAGTCTGAGAGAGAACTCCATCTGCAAAGGACGGAAAACAAGCAGAATCAGAACGTGAAGTACAACATTTCACACTCCCAAATAGATTTACGATCTGTATTTCTGGAAGCTTTGAGTTTTTCCTGGTTTTGCGCTAATGCACAACAAGATGAGACTGCAAAAGAGGAAAATGGTGTAGCAAAAATAAAACTTCGACATATAAATAAGATGCTTGCACTAATCAGGCTCACTTATCTTGTGAAATATGCTGCTATAAAATCCCAAATTGGAATGATTTCTACAGTATGTGAATATCACAGCTGCAAAACTGAAGAGCACTGGGTGAATCATTAGAAAGTGGTATTTTTGGTCAATTTTTGGGGGATGTGGGTGGGGGAAGCAGGGAGGAGAGAAGACGTTGGATATATTTTGTTCAAAATCTCTTGTACTTGACATTTGTTCTAGTTCTTAATACTAATCTCTATAGACCCATCTTCAAAAGGCCACAAATTGTAACAGCATAGTGGAAAAAAGAAAGCTAACCAGGTTACCTATCCAAGGTAAGGCTTGAAAATGGGTAAGTTCTAAGAGGTAAACTGCTTGCAGATTGGATTCCACTTCTAATTTAGGTGATCCAAAGAACCTTCGGGAAAGGTTAATGATACATTTCAACAAAAGACTTTTCCATCACAAAAATTGGAGATTTTATTTAAAGTGTATTTTCCCATCACAAATGCTGAAACACATGATAATAGTTTAAAAAATAAAAATCTATCCTCTAGCCAAAATTAACAAGTGGAAGGAAAGAGAAATGACTGCCTGCGTACCTGGAGTGGAACAAAGGATGCTGTCTGGATTGACAGAAGCCTCATAAGGAGGAGGTGGGTCATCTGGATGTTGAATATCTGGGTACTTGTAAGCAGTGTAGGGTGGAGGTGGGTCGTGGAAATGAAAAGCTCCACCCTCCCCATCGTCTGAAAGATGCAGTGGAGTAAGGCCAGTTCCAAAACCGTCGGGACCATAATCAAAGCCAGGCATCCTGCGGCCCAAGTTAAAATGGTGCACTGTTTCAAGAGAAGAAAAAGGAGTCAGTGACTTTATCTCGTGCTTTCTTCTTCAGTTTAAGTCAGATCTCAACACCTTTTTTCCACTTTTCACACCCAAGGAACTCACGTCTCCCGAAGACCTAAAAAAGTCTACATAACCCATACAAGTCAACTTGCTGCAGTTAACAACCATACCCAGGCCCACCTGCTCCCAGCCTGTTTGTCCTGCATCACATCTAAATTTGACTCTAACCTCTTCAAACTATGGACACCGCTCACACAGAAGATATTTCAGACTTGGACCGCATACAAACAAAAAAAATATCTTTCCATTATCCACTAAAAAAGTTCAAGTTTGGAGACCCTACCAAGACACACACACAGGCACAGTCAAGCAAGACCAGGACATTCCTCACCTTTGTGTACATCAACCTGTCAGTAATGAGCGAGGCACAAGGTTGGTACTCACAGTTTGCTCCAATCAAGGACTCTATGCGCTCTCTTCGCCTCTGGCGCAGCCGGTGGACCATGAAAAGCAGCAGAGAGAGGATGAGGAAGGAGGAGATGCAGCTCACGATCAGACGCATTCCCCCGGCCATGGAGTCAAACAAGCTGTTGCCATCTGTTACATAAAGCATATGAAAGCAGCCTGTTATTTTTGTTCAAGACTCATTTTCCTTGATGATCTTCTGTCAGTAGTGGAGAGATAAATGCAGAGTGGGGATTCATTAGCCTGGTTTAACACTTTTCTGTATTTCAAATATATAAGAAAATCATGAATCATCATGTGATTTATCTTTTTACTGCAAAAAGATCTAAAAGTTTCTAAGAATATCTTCCTCAGCAAAAGGGACAGAATGTTGAAGGTTTCAGGTCTCTGAAAATGGGAAAAAGAAGATGTTAATGGTATTTTGCACATCCATTTGTTTCCCTGGCGTGCCTGATGAAGTTATACTGAAGAGGAAAGCAAGCCTGAAAGCTTTGGGAAAGGCCTGAGAACTGTCATATTGACACACTACATAACTTTGGACATGTTAACTTTTACATTTCTAACAACAAAATCTCTAAACATTGTCATTATCACCAAGATGTGCCCACCTAAATTCCATGTGTCATTGGTACATTCTTTAGCACCACTAAGGGATAGAAACTAAAAATACCTTCAAAAAGTGAATCAATGTGATAATCATCTTTCAGAAACTGAAGAGATGAGGGTGAACGGGAATTAAATCTTTTCCTGGAGTCATACTGAAAGCAAGTGGAAAAACAAGAAACAGTCCCAGGAGCTTAGAACTTGGAGAGCTCTATCCCACTGCTAAGCAGATTCACACTTGGAAGGCTGTTGTGAGCAAATTACCACTGTTCTCCCAGCACCAGGCATGAGAGGAATTAATTTTTCACAGTTCAACTAATCACACTTGGTTATTGCTTAAGCAGCACATGCACACACAGACACTCTACACAAAGAAGAATGACCTAAAGGTGACCGTGCTGTGTTCTTTGCACCAACTTATCATTAAAGAGTTCTGAATGAGAAATGCACCCAGGTTTGGTGTGGGTAAGAAACAGATGAGGTGGCTGCACAACCTGGTCACCTCCTGCTGCAGGACACAAGCACTGCAGGTATGACCCCTCTTCCCAGTCAATGCACTGCCACCACACTTCCCAGAGGAACCAGCCAGATCCAGGCCACCTCTCCTTGCCTGCACCCGCTCCAGCTGCAAGAGTTCCCTCCATGCTTCTCCTTTCACTAAGAGCAGGTAAGTTTTATCAAGATTTCTTAAAAAAGAATGCTAAAAGCCTCACAGCAGTTCTAAGTGCTGGTGTGCTAGTAACAGAAAAATCCACCTAATGTACCACAGATACAGTACAAGGCTACCAGGCTGCTATTTATTATGTCATACATTCTTGGCAACAAGAAATTAATTTAATAGTGCACTACAGAGAGAATTTGAACATTGCACCCTCTAAAATCCGGCTGTGCAGTACAGAAGCCTGTGTGCTGTCAAACCTTTTAGCAACTATGGCTGTCAGAGCTTCAGCCGAGGCCGTCACACACCTACCAACCAAGACACCCTCCTGAACACCAGACCTGCCCTTGTTCCTCCTCCATCTTACGGCAATGCTGGCTTCGTGATCCTCATAAATTATTTAAGGTTGTTAAGTGACTTCAGTAAGATACACTCATAGGTGTAGATGCCCAGAGAAGCTGGTTTTGGTCACAGGATGGACTGTAGTGGTGCATCCCCCACTCCCAGGCCACACTGTGATCTGAGAAATGCTCATTAGGCCTCGGCCTTGACGAACTGCACTTAGACTAAGCCACTCTTGAGCTTATCAGAAACACTGTCTGTTCCCAGGAACTAACAGGTGTCTAATGAACACCTCTTTTTTAAGAACAGCCTCAGAAACTTGTTTTTCTTACCAGAACAACAACCCAAATGGAATAATATTTTTGTTACTGAACCTTCAAAGAAAGTTACCAACTCAGACTGTGGCCACTATGGAAAATTACTCTGATTAAAGCCCACTCTCTAAAGACCCTATAAACAGCGGTCCAAGGTGAGATCCTTTTGAGCTCTTGATTCCCAGATGATAAGGGGCTAATGTGGATGTCTCAAACACTGATAACTGGATGACTGTGGAGCCAACCAAGGACTGTTAGTAATAACAGACAGGAATTTTGGTAATAACCAAGGACTATTGGTATTAACATGCTGTGAGAAAGAACAAGATTTGGCTGGAGAAGGGGGGAAGGTGGAAATAGGGCAGCACTTCTCTGAGAGGAAGAGCCAGAACACAGCACAGTGCTGGATCAATGCTGAAACCAGGATCAACATGCCCTCAGCTGGATCAACACTGGAACCAGGACTGGTGATCTTTTTCTCTCTCTTTTCTTTCTTTAGTTTCTCTTTTTTTTCTTTTTCCTCTCTCTCTTTTTCTTTCTTTCTTTAATTCATCTCTCCCTCTTTAATTCCTCTCTTCCCTTTCACCCTACCCCTTTATCCAAAACCCTCTGCTGGGTGTTTATATTGTAGGACAGGGACTAACATACCAATTTCCCTGCCAAGTGTGTAATTTACTAATAAAACTTTCTGATTGTTTGTGGACCCTCTGACTTCTGTCGTTCCTTTCGACCAATGACCACTACAAATCTCAGGTGCTTCCTTCCCCTCAGGGGTGGGTTGTCACACTTAGGCAAGCCTGACTTACATATTTCTTTAGACCAGCTACAACTGCAATTCTTGGACCTTCTGGGGCATTGTGGGCCTCCATCACACTGCTCCTAACGTTCAACAACAACAAAAAGACAAAGACCCACCTTGTACAAAACAAGATCTATATCATCACAGAGATTTCCAATCCACAAAAATACAAACAGATTATTTCAGAAAAGCTGTTTCTACACGCAGTACAGTATTAGTACCCTCTAACTGCACCAGTTTAGTCACTAGAATAGCTTCTGCACACCAGCTCTTTCCAAGTATTTTATTTCTTCTATTACCTTTTCACAAATAACAGTTGCAGTCTGTCTAAACAAGAACCACAAAAGAAAAATTATTTTCTACCACATCCATGGAGCAGCAATAGACAGACTAACTCAGTTCCAGCATTAGTGTATGAAAGATATTCCTCTGCTATTTATCTTCCACTAAATGAGGAGAAGCATAATTCAGGAGAGTATAGCTGCAATTGCTTGGCTTACTCCTACCACTGAAAAAACCCCCTACTACCAAGTCCTTGAGTAATATTCGTTATCCACTTGTAATCATTGCTCACCCACTCACACTGTGAGAGCTGATTACCTGCCAACCCAACAGCAGGATTTATTTCCCCCGGTCTCTCCTTGGGTGATTAATTCACTTACTGTTGAACAGCAAACTGTTTTCTTTCCTTTGCAACAGAGCTCAGGGAAGACATATGAAAGAACTGGACAGAGGTAAATACATTCTGATTAAAGAAAGTAATTCATTAATTTTTGTCATCTGGAATAGTCATTTATAAACATCCAGAAGGAAAACTGAAATGTTTCCTTTAAAAATTTCAGTGTTTATCACTAGCTGAAGTAACTTCATTATGAAGGAAGTTGGAGGACTGCTTGATAATTCTTCTCTCAAAAACTAAGTTACTAAAAAAACCACCAGAACACTTCAAGCAAGAGTATAATGAAACAGTCTCATTTAGCATCAGTACAGAAGGAAGAGCTTAAGGATGAGAAAGGATGTGGTAAAATACACTCTTCAAATCAGTATTCATCAATACTTAAGACCCACAGGAATAAGCAAGGATTAAAGAACACGGCACGAGGTTATCCCAGGTCATCTTATCCTGTGTGCTGGATGATGCTTTGCTGACACTGTTCCTGAAGATAAAAAAAGTGAAGCCTAAGTCTTAGCTCAGCTGATAAGAGTGGGAGGAAGACTCCTGCTTTTCCCCCCACTCTTTCACCGACCGACCTGCAACACAAGCTATGAACATCTGCTAAGCTTAACCCTCAGAACAAACATAATAGACACAAGGAGGAGCCAGTGGCCTTTAATGATTAACTGCTCTAGTTAAGACCAATAAGAAAGACTGCAAATGTGGAAGTCAATAAGCAAATCTGGAATTTGTAACAGATTGAAACAGAAGCTCCTGATGGAAACAGCTGACCTTGTGTTTTCCACAAGAATTCAGAACAACAGTTTCTTAGTGCACTCAGATAAGATTAGATTCTTTTAAAATACCAAAAAATAATGGTATCACAGAATGGCTGAAGTTGAAAGGAACATCCTGAGATCACCTAGTCCAACCCCTGCTCAAGCAGCATCAGCTAGAGCAGGTTGCCCAGGACAGAGTTCAGTCAGGCACTGAATATCCCACAGATGGAGATTCCATAAGCAATCTGCTCCAGTATTTGACCACCCCCACAGCAAATTCCAAGCAAGCTATGTTTCTTTTTTCAAGTCTCTTTACAGAAAAATAAGCCCCCAAAATCCACACCACTAAATGGTGACTGACAAACAATTCAAAGTCAACTGAAGACTTAACAGATCCAAAACAAGAAGTTGCACTGATATGTCAAATCCAATGAGCAGGGTTGTATGTCCTGATGATTGCTGAAAGTTACACAGTTTAAAAACTCTGCTTCCCCCATGATCCCTGCATGCAAACTTCCACTCACATAAATGCTCACAATCAGAAAAAGATGCTTAATTAGTGCTCAAGAGAAAAGTACTTCCTTTTCATGACAACTAAACTTGACAAAGGAATTGTACAAGATGGTGTACTAATAACGCACAGTACTATCAATCTCCATACTGAAAATAAGCTCCTGTTTCTCCTTTCTAAGTAGCATCAAGGATAACAAATTTTTATCAGCCACAGCCTGAAGCATTTCCCTTCCTATGATTCGAGATCTTCCCTCCCAGGGCAGCTGTACCCAACAATATCAAGGCACTGCAAGGACGCATCATTTCAAACAAAGTTATACCCAAACGTAACCAAGGGGAGCACTCAACTATTTTTTCTTGACAACACTGTAGCAGTCAACTCTTACCTGGGTCTAGACAGGTGAACTTGCAGCACTCCTTCGGGTCCTTGCGGTACTGCTGACAGCCCTGGGGCCGCTCACACAAAGCAGCCACGCACATCTCAGGTTCACCGTTGTGACACGTGCAGCTCAAACAGGGATCGTTCCCTTTTGGGGTGAAATAGTATCCTTCATCGACAATGTTGTCTTTGATATCAACACAAGTCTGGCCTAGAACAGAAAGGCACATCAGTATTGATGGAATCCAGTTTGTTCTGTTGCCTTAAGTGACTTGTAAGCATAAGCAGACCACCAGTTAAAATCCATGCCTTCACCTACAGCGACTTTGAAAAGGGATCTCCAAGGAGCAGGGAAGATAATGGATAGTCTGGAGGCACACAGGGATGATTAACTGCTCAAAATTGACAGGTGAGTTTCAGGTATTTAATGGAACTGACACACTTTCAGGCATTCTCTCCAAGACAAACCAAAGTAAGTGGTCTGAGAAGTTTAAGCTTCACTGCCAAAGCCTCCTGCAGCTCCCTTCCTCTCTCCTGGTAC